GCAGTCACGCGACGTAATCGGTATGAAATAGCCCCTGAAAGATGGCGTTCGGAGACTTTTGGCGGGGGTCTGTATTACTAATAATCGTATTAATATTTGATCAAGTGAAATTTTCATTCCAAATATATTGAAAAAGAGTTAAGTAAAAATGAATATAGTAGAAATATAGTAGAAATATCTCCATTTAAAATAATATTTGACGCCTCAAGATCAACAAGGGTTTTTTTTGTTGTAAACTTTGAGTATATGCGGGAAACTTAATAAATTATATGCTCCGTGTCATCTATATAAAATTATTTCTAAAGTTATTGCGCATTTATTTATCATCAAAATCACGTCGGAATAAACTAGTTCATGAGATTTGAGTCAAGCTGCCATGATGTCATACGGTGAATTTCAAACACACCTCGAAATGTTAACAAATAAATATATAAAAAAATTAATTACTACTTTTAGCATTGATGTAGCATATAAAAATAAATAACAAAAAGTTCTGTAGAACATGACGTTTCTATACAACGATAGCTCTTGTTCGCGGTCTAGTTCCTCTCAGAATAGGAAGAATTAGAAAGAAATTAATTCCCAGAATCCTGAAAGAAGAGAAATATTTCCATTCGGACTTGTGCAAGGCTAGGATCTATCTTCAACAACCAAGCAATATGGCTGAGGACTTTTCTAACCATGTTTTCCATATCCTCATCGTTGCATACAACGACCACGGGTTCAGATAGTTTGAAGCTTGGCCTATCTTGATTATCCAACGAACATTCCATAAAATAAAAATTCTCGGCATCAGTGACTATCCCAAAAACACTCTAACCATCTGACCCTCTTCCACTTCATTATCCTTGCTGTTACGATTCTAAAGATGATTCGAGTTGGACTGCGCATTATGCAACACCTTTTACAAAATCATCTTTATGACCTAGGGATTGGAATAATTTTCGATATTGGTACAAATTGAAATGATTAAATGAAATTTTTTATCATTGCAGCAGGGTCTCAAAAAATGCCAAAGAGCTATGCGTAGCTTTGTAGGTAAATTTTGGTAATGCAATGACAAAAAAAAATTCCAATATTTAAACCGTGATTATTGTAACGAGAAACTCAGGTGCTAGGAATTCAAATTTCGAAATTCTATATATACAAAAGAGGATTAGCATATATTGTTTGAAAATATATGTACTATTAAACTTACGCACATACTTACTCTTTCTTTTCAAGGGAAGGGCACAAAGTTTATGGTTCAATAGAAAGTTTTCCTGAGCACGTGATTGTAGATCACAACACTTTAAATAAATAATGTAATGACTTATATTCATGCTGGATTGATCTTGGAGGAGTGGAAATTGAAACCTGTCACAAATCCTTGTATCTGAGATCTGGAAAATAATGCTTTGGTGTAATTTTTACGATGTGTACTCTCAAATCAAACAATCTTCAATTATTCTGATTGCTTAAATCTATCACCAACAAGGTACACGAAACAGAATGTTTTCACATTAAAGGCGCGACCTGAGCAATTGAACCTAGCTGTCACGTGTCACCTGAAAATTTGTATCAAAAAAATACTTAATCAATCCTTCAATAAAAAAAAAAGACTAAAGATAATAACTGTTGTCCATTGAAAATTTATGATTTTGATCTATTTGCAAGCTTTTTCGGAGAGAAATATTTTCTCTCACAATAATTGGAAAACCGATTTTCCAATTATTTCATGAAAAAATTCTGGTGTTATTTCTAGATAAATTTTAATAGTTAATAAACCAAAATATAAATAAGTGTTGCCATAAACAGAGTACAAACCTTCTTTACAAACTGCTTCAATGCGTTTAGAAAAAGCATCAACAGTTCGCGGAATTATTATATCTGTCAATCCACGCATGCATATATTGTTTTCGAATATATAGGATGCTACAAATAATGATAATGAAAGCTTTGAGGGAATATTAGCTCATTAGTACTAAATTATAAAATTTATAAAGGACTATTTACCATTTGTTTGGATCGCATATATCTCAAACCTATGAATATCTGGACGTGCGACGGTTAGCAAGGTAGAGGTTGGAACCGGTTAAAGAATTTTTGGCTGGTTCCAACCTCTATGGCAAGGCAAGATATGCACTGGTAAGTAACAGCTTTGAGCAATATTCAAGTTTTGATAAGTCGTTCTTTCTTTTGTTGGCAGTATCATATCTCCCATTCAATTGAATTAATACTTCTTGACTGATGGACGTAATAATCGCTCGAGTCCGATTTTTAGACCACTATTTACTTGAATTTGAGCAAGTTTTTTAACTTGTCATACGCTACAGATGAAACTTCACCGCTGCTTTTTGTAATGTGAATTAATCGTCTCAGGAAGTATATAATAATAACACAGTAGTTTAAACGTTTAAACATACCTAGAAATTCGAACATCCTTTTCTCCATAAAGGCGTTGTATAAAAGTGGCGTCCACATATATGAATTATATTCGGATCCAGTAAGAGATCGAGACAACATGTCATTTGAAAAAGGTTATACCTGTCCATAAAATACAGAATTTTAAAATTTAATATTTTGAAATACAGCAATATAATCATAAAATCAGAAAGGCTTTCATACATTAGAAGGACTTAATGCTTTATCATTTGGCAATGTAAAAAAAAGTCTATACCAATCATCTTCACTTGGGGATCCATTGTATCATAAAATCTGGGAGTTGACGGACGTAAGTGGTTCATAACATGATTTCTATTATGATTAAAAAAACTGTAAATGTAGTTGATATCGGGATTGAGGTTTGGGCGATTGTGAACTTAATTCCCCTGCAGGGTTTGACGTAATGCATCTGCAAATAAAATTAACTTAATCTAGCATTCTTTTAATTTTGTAATATAAGCATGTAAACTTACACAACATCTCGAAATGCGTTCAGAAATTTCATAATTTCTTCGTCAATATCAATTAAAAACTTATTCATTCTAAAATTTTTGCCATCGTCAAAGGAGATTGTGTTAAAATCATCATTTTCCATTTGTTCTTGAATATGCGTGATCAATGATGATGGAAGAGGTCCTATACATAAGTTGCTATGAAAATTGGCAACACCAATATTTAATGGCCTTTTCAAAATAAAATGTGCGTCAGTTGAAAGTAAATGTGTATTGCAGATGTTAAAAAACCTCTTACGATTTAGCATTCTTATAATCTCGAAAAGTAGTGCAGATGTCAAGACCATTCCATAACCAAGTATGCCCATTTAAAGGACACATACGTAAGCCTGAGAGTAAGTTTTGTGTGAGGTCATGCTGTACATATTTAAGTTTATTTTTTGTAAATTTGGGCTTTGGCATATTATCACATTGTTTTACTACGAGACTACTTAATTTAGAAACTCTGAAATAGGTTTTAGTTGTGCTTTAAAATTATTTTGCTCGTGATTATCTTCAGGTTCAGAAATATCACTATCATCATTATTCATAGATTTTAAATTATCACCATTATCATCATCACAATCTTCTTTAACTCAGAAAAAACATTCATAATCTATACTATATCAAAAACCCTGACCTATGCATTTGAATATAAGTTAGAAAGCTAAAGAATATTTCTTGCTAGATTCATTTAATTATATACTAACCTTATTTGGAGAAGTTGATAAACCTTCTCCTGTGATTTGTCTTTTTCTTGTTAATAGTAGATTACTTTCAGCAAAAGAATTATTATTTTCGTGTTTTAATATTACCGTAGATAATTCCGCTGCCAAAAATTTCTGTATAAAATGGCTGATGAATATGGACTTGCTTCCTTAAACGATTTTTCTCACAATTTTTCACCTTCTTTTCATCGTATTGACTAGTATAAAATATTTTGACATTAGTTTTATTCTTCAATGAAATCAATTCGATTTCTGTTTAGAACATCAGCTAACCTTGAAGGTCATTTGTGCTCTAATGGGTCCTGTAATTGATGGATTAAAGGTCTTTTAACAGCAGTCAAGCTAAAAGATCATCTGCATTCCATTACTGGTTGTGGTTCAACTAAGAGTTTTGAATGACGAACCATCTAAAAGATTTTCGTCATGCTATATATTCCAACTTTACGAATAAATCAGCAAAAGAAAATTTAGCTGCAACAACAAAAAAAACTTTTTACCTTCTTATAATTATCATGGAGCACTTTGCTCTTTCACTCCTAATGTTTTGTTCACTATTCATGATTGTTTAAAGAGATTTAAGATATATGTCTATCTTGCTATTGAAAGGCTCTTCAATGGGTTCGTTTAAAAAAATCTAAAATACACCAGTCCACAGGTTTTCGCTTGAAGTAATCGTGAGCAACCATGAAGAAATTTTTTGATGCTTGTTGTTACTGCCGAAATTAAATAAAATTGTTGATGTATTTTTTCTTGTGTATTTTCGCGACGAACACTTGAGAAACATGGAGGGTTTTCTCTGGTCAGAATTTTCACCTTAATTTCTTAAAAAAAAAGATATAATATAATTAACAAAAATGTAGGCGAAAAAATAGACCACATGACTTTAAATGTACACCAATAAAATTTAAATCACATGACTAGATGCACAAACACGTGATTTATGATCGATCCCATAATCCGACAAAATTCTCATTTTTTCTATAAATTTAATTCAATTTCAATAGATGATCGGTATTATTTTTTTGTTATTTTTTTTTGCGATTTTAATACTGTCTATGCTTATTATTGCGCACATTTTGATTGTGCAGTTTCATTAAGTCATGGGTGCACACTTGGCTTATGAGTTCAAAATAAGTGATGGTTTAAATTCGCTATCTAATAATTGTTGGAATGGATAATTCCTATCAATTGTTAGCCTTTCTGATAATTGTTGGAATGGAATATGTCCTATCAATTATTGGAGCCTAATTTTTTAAATAATAGCGGGTTGGGTGTGAAATGATAGTGGGAAGTGAAAAACATAAAACAATTGTCGAAACTATAAAAGTTTCGTATAGTCGCTTTGCCAGAAAAAAATAAAAAAATGTTTTATTTTATTTTTTTTTGTTCGTAAGAAAGTGAAGATACATAATTAATCCAAAAAAAAAAAAATTTCGTAAAATCTCGCCACATGTAAAAATATACTATCAATAAAGTATAACTTGAATAAACTGTAAATAACGTAAGTTCATATTTTTTATTGAACGCCTATCTATTTAGTCTTCTTACATAATTTTCCAATCAAATAAACCGCAGAATATATTCATGACAAAAACTAGAGATACGATTCGAATCCGATCAATCCGGGCCATCCGTCGAAAAGGCGGATTACATTGATCGGATTATCCGTCAGATAGAACGGATGGATTATCAGGTTATCAAATGGATCCGATGAAAACTATACTTTTTACTCCGAACTTAGTAAACAACTATTTGCACTTTAGGAAGTAACTTTATTTTTTTAGAACTCCAAACTTGAAAGGTTCGGAACCCTGGAATTCTTGGAGTGTATAAGTCATTCTTTTTTTTTAAAAAAATAACTAATACTAAACTTATTTTGGTAGGACGGTCCGTAACCTTGAAATTGAACCGATCGATGGTACATATATTTGTATTATTTCTATATATTATTATTTTTTTAAAAAAGAATTCACATTACTTACCGATCCGGAAGCTGTAAGTCCTAATGGAATGGAATATTTATTATTTATTTTTATAATCTTTAAAAAAAAACCACACTAAGTAAACGGTCCAGATTCTTGAAAACTTGGGTTGGAATCAGATCATAGGTAAGCCCTATTAGAATTTATTTCTTTTTTATTGATTTTAAAAAACTAACAATAAACTTACCTTGTAGGACGAAGTGGAGAATTTGCAAGTATTTTTTTAATTATAAAAAAAAGAACTGATATCAACTTCCTTTGAAAGACCGATCCAGATCCTTGGAATGAGTCAGAGGTAAGTTCTAACATAGTAATCTTTTTTTATAATTTTTTTTTTTAAAAAAAATTGGAATTTTGGGTAGGAGGCAAGTCTCTAATTGGAGAAATTTGTAAGTTTCTTTTTTTTAATCTTAAAACTAACACTAAATTTACCTTAGTAGACCGATCCGGATCCTTGAAGCATTGCATCGGAGGTAAGTTCTAAATAATTCTTGTTAGCATCTTGTATTTTTAAAAAAAAAAAAATACTAATATTCACTTACCTTCGTAGTCCGATCCGAAATCTATAAACCTTGGAATCTTGGATCGGAGGCAAGTCACTAATGGAATAATTTGTTGATTATTCTTTTATAAAAAACTGAATTTTACTAACTTACCTTTGTAGGACGGTCCTGATCCTTGAAGCCCTAGATTGGAATCGAATCGGAGTTAAGTTCCAATGGAGGATTTTTTTTAATTATAAAAAAAAAAGAACTAACACTAAACTTATCTTTGTAGAACGGCTCGGATCCTTGAAGCCCTGGATTGAAATCGGATCGAAGGTGAGTTCTAATGGGGAATTAAATTAGAATTTATTTTTTAATTATAAAAATTACTAATGTTAACTTACCTTGTAAACCTGTCCGGATCTTGAAGCATTAAATCGGAGGTAAAGAATTTTTTAATATTTTTTTTTTAATTTTTAAAATAAAAATGAATATATCTTACCTTTGTAGACCGATCCGAACCTATAACCTTGGAATCTTGGATCGGAGGTAAGTTTTGATGGAGTGAAATAATTTGATAGTGTTTTTTTTTATAATCATAAAAAAAAACTCACTAAGCTTACCTTTGTAGGTCCTTGAATCTTGGATCGGGGCGGAGGTAAGCCAAATTGAAGAGATTATATATATATTTTATTTTAAAAATAAACTATTATTAACTTACCTTTATAGGACCGATCCGGAATCTATAATTTGTTATTTTTTTTTATTTGCTAATAATATAAACTTATATTCATTTATCTGAGTAGACTGTTCCGGAACCTATCCAAGATTTCGATTTTGTAACTACCGAAAGAATTTGAAATTATTTAAAGACGTGTCATTGGATCAAAATCGAAAAATAAAATACATTTCCCTTTATGAATTTCACGTTGTCTCCTTTATTAGGGATTAAGACAAGTAAGTTTTTGCTTCGATTTTTTGAGTAATATTTACAAGTATAATATTATATTAAACTTTGATAAATCTGAGTTTACTGCGCTTATGAAACACTTGAAATATTTAACGTACTTTTTCAGGCGAAGCTATATGTATTTCTAAATTGGCGCTGGAAATTTCGTAAAGTTTTAATAATTTTTTATATATTTAAAATATTTGAATATTTTTAATTTCGAAGAAATTTTGATTGATTATTTTTAATTTTTTAATTTAACTAGAATTTGCAGTTTGTTGAAACTGTGTACTCTTAAAATTAGGTTAATATTAGAATGAAGTATATGAATATATTCAGTACCCGTCAAAAGTAATGCCGGACAGTTTTTTTAA